TCTTCCTCATCCATACAAATACCTGGAACGTCATTAAGTCAGTAGGGAAGAGCACTAACCCCCAAAAATTAGCAACCTAAGCATCCGTTCTTTTGTCGACACACTGATGTCACTACCACACTCCATTAATATGCATTGGAACACTTCGAAGTACAGCGTTATGGGAGCCAACGAAAGCGGTCGACGTTTCACCACGCCCTAGTTCAGTTTTCTGAGAGCGAGTACACGATAGTTCGACCATCGATTTCGATGATGTACACCATATGCTGTAGACAGGTACAGTGAGAGTAGATAAGCAGCCTTATACGATGCGATTGGAATGGAATTCAAGCAGCCCTTAAACAATTTATAATCAGCAAGTTTTGGAAAGCTTAGAAGCAGCCTTTCTGTGAATAAAGTATTGAAAGGCGACGACGGTGATCACAAAATGAGTGCAAGAAATACCATCTTGGCCGGCATTTCTAAAAAAATATCCGAGTTTGTATGGGCATAGGGAAAAATCAATACTGCTGACGTAATCATTGTTATCAGATGCTATGTTTTCACGAGGCTCAAAGCGTGCATACGGAAACTGGCATCCTGGTTTTTTCGAGGCATCATCGATTTGCGTTCCATAATTAGTCGTATATCAACCCTGCCTAACTAAGGTTTTTTAAATGGAAAAGCATATCAGAATTGCAAATAAAGCTTCGCGTTAAGCTTCCAGATACAGATATCGCCTTCATCGTCTCCCCAAGAAGACGATGAAGATAAGGCCTGTGAGTGGACCGAATTGTATTCTATAAACAGAGTATTTTGATTGTATAGGCAGATAGTATTGCCGGCAAAGAAAAGGGAGTCTGGAATGGTCATTTCTGACTTATTAGCCATTGGCAGCCAGTCATATCCAGATCCAAGTGGGGCCTCACCCGAGCCTCGAACTCGCGGCCTATTGGTCAGAGTAAATCTTCCTAACCGTTGAGTGACGAGATCCTTGTCTCGCCGGTTCAGGTCAGGGGCTATTTACACTTGTTGATGAACGTTCATCTGACGCTAAAGGAACTCACCTGTCTTGCTCAATGGTTAGGGCATTTGACTCTGAGCAAAAGGGCTTTTTCGGCAATATGATCTGCCTATACTCCCAGCTCTTAGGAATGTTAGGACCTCTTTCGAGGCCCAAGGCAGAGCGGGACGGATGATTTCTGTGAGCGGTCAGGTGGACGTTAATCAGTGAGTATTTTCGTTGCTGCGCCTAGTGGTCTTGTGTTCTTCAGTCTTGCCGCTTGCCTTGTATTATAGCCATGCTAAGCGCACGAACCTTCACCGACCCGTTCGCGGCGGTCTACCTTTGACCTCCTCGAGGTTGACCGCTGGCGGGCTTGCGTGACCTTTGCCCCTTCACGGGCGGCGTAGTTGTAGGGAAGTCAGTGTGCCTGATGGCCTCCAAAACGTCAGTTAGCGAACTGGTGATTTGTTGCTGTTAGGTTGAGTTGTTTTTGTCTTCGCGCGCGCATCGCTGAGACACTCGCGTGACCTCTGGCCGCCACTGCTCTTTTCCGTGATTGGCTTGCGCGCTACCCGCACGATATGTACTTTAAGCTATCTTTTGACAACCTTAGCCACATTCCTCATAGACGGTAAAATTCGCCAACCAGTTGGCTGACGCGTTTAGGCAACTTATTACGGTGAACGCCTATTAGCATAAATGTCAGCCATTTGTAGAACCTTCCGTTGGGGACTGTTTAGACTTTACTGTTTTCTGTATACTGTCCAGTACCTAAATTCTTATACCAAACATGTTGATGAAAGGCACACTCAACTATGCAAAATATTGCACAAACGCCAGCCTACAATCAGCGTTGGGGACATGAGCTCTCTGTTCTTTTGAAATTGAGCCGCCGTTTTCTTCCTGCATCCATTCGCATGTAAAATTTCTTATATATGCGTCGGTTGGCCTACTTTGCCCACTATAAACCTATTTCTATCCCTCCTTGTTTATTTGCATTACAATGAGGTCATCAGTGCGCGACGCAAGCACCGCTTTGAAACCAGTCCAATTTGACCCATTTTAATGAATTTTCCGAGGACACTTATCCTTGATGTCGACAATGTAATTGACGATAATGGATTACTTTATGTACTAGTGTTTTGAGTTTGGGTGCCCAAATTTAACACTTCTGAACACAGGATGTTTTTGCTGAAAATGCTGTGATTGTATTTTCAAAATAAAACGTATCCTTCTCTCTATCCCTCTGTTCCATGTCCACACAGCAGAACTACGGTATCGCCTTTGGTACAGCAAGGGTGATCGGCCGGGTAACTGAGAATATGGTCAGACTGATGCTCGAAAATTGGTGCACAACTGGCTCAACTAATCGAACCATCGACTTGTATCCGCCAACTCAGGCGCAACACACAAGACCCGAATATGTTTGCACACGACTGAAAGAACAGAAGCAGAAGATGCGATCGTAGGAACGAGTTTTTTTCGCCTGACCGTTCAGATTCTCTCGAGAACCCTTCGTCAGATGTAATAGCGTGATACATGCACGTGATTATAGTTCGACCGTCGATTTTGACGATGTAGACTATATGCCCAAGAGCAGGAATGGTGACTGTAGTCAGATATAGCGAAAGTAGACGAGCAGTCATCTACCACAGTCTAAGCCCCCTTCCGCTGGAACCGGCGACAAGACAGAGTCGAGATGACCGAGCAGAAATCAGGCGTAATCCGCTATCTCCAATACAGGCCAGAAACACCGCCTAACTTAGTCTTAAGTGACAGCAGCCTTTGCGCTGATACTGCTGCACTACCTACCCTCATTCACCTCCAGCAGGTGTCCAGAAAAACTTAAGGCGATCAAGTCCGAATTGCTATCACTATTTATTCTGCTGCTTACTGGCAGTGTAGTTGAGTGTTAGCAGTGCTGGCACTATTACTGAGGCTAATAATTGGTCAAAAATGAGGCTGACTAGAGTCAGGGCTGGGCGCGTGTCCCTTCGGTCTCAACTAGGAGTTGGGACCTGGATTTATGCTATTCCGAGTAAAGTAGATGCCTG